GCTCTTGCCGGGGGGGCCTCAATGGAGATGCAGATGACATCCCTCTTTCAGGTGGGTCTTTGGTGATTCCTGTATAATGTCTTGATGACATCCCATAAGCCTTCTGGATTTTGGTCATTAGTGTCTAATGTATCATATCTGTTCTTGAGATGGTCTCTAAATTCAGGTGGGATATATTCAAGGTCATAGTTTGGTTCTCATAGACTTATTTTAATGTTCTTCAGTTTCAGCTGGAACTTGCATATGAAGAATTGATTGTCTGTTCCACAGTTGCTGGCCTTGTTTTGCCTGATGATATTGAACCTAAGTGTCCATCAACAAATGAATGGGTTAAAATAAAAAAGTGGTGTATTCATTTTTCTTTGTTATTTAGTGCTGATTTAACAGAAACGCCACAGTTTAGGAGGCTAGAGTCTGAGTTCAGAGCACTGGCTAGAAGGGTAGGTGTTATTTTTCTGTCAGTTCTCCAAGAAGGTCTTTGTCTCCTGTTGGCATCTGTGGGCCTTGTGTTCCTTGGTGAGTTAGCTGTTTCTTGACATCAATATTCCTCTTGATCTAAGAGATTCTCAGCCCAGAGATTCCAGGCTTTCCGAGACTGTGAATTTTTATGGAAGCAGATAGCCCCATTTTTCTCCCACAGAGTGACTGGTGGGTTTGAACTGCCAATCCTTTGATTAGCAGCCCAGTGCCTCACCCACAGTGCCACCAGGGTTCTAATTGTAGAGGTTATGATTTACAACACATAGGATTGGGCCACTAAACTCAAGGTCAGCAGTTCAAAACTACCAGCAATAGATTTTACAGGAGAAAGATGAGGTTTTCTGTTTCCATAAAGATTTACAGCCTCAGAAACCCTATACAGGGTCACTATGAGTTGGAACTGACTCCACAGCACACCATCGCCACCACCACCAGGATAATTAGATTAGAATATAAATTGGAAGATAATTACACCAAATCACAAAATGGAGGATTGTTACAACATAAAAATTGGAGGATAATTACATTACATTGAGAATCATGGCCTATCCAAGTTGGCATACAAGTGTGAGTCAAAATTTGTCTGCACTCTGGTTGTAGAATTTATTTTAATCAACTTTTAGAAAAGACAAAAACATCATTTTTCGACATAATCTCCTTGCTTTCAATATACTTTTTCCATCTGTCAACAAGCTTCCGTATTCCCTTACTTAAAAATGTTTTAGGCTGAGCTGTGGGATATGAACACACCACTGTCTTCACTTCTTCATCAGACAATCTTCATCCTCTAAGAGCTGCTTTTAGGGGACCAAAAAGTGAAGAATATCAGGATTATAGGGAGGATGCTTTAACACTTCAAACGAAGTTCTTGCAGAGTGTCAACACTGTAGGCAGATGTATACAGACCTGCATTGTCATGCAACATCACAACACCCTTGGATAACAGTCCTCTGTTTAATCTGAAGTTTAGGCTTCAGCTTTCCAGTGAGTATCTCTCTGCAACAGGTGCTGTTAATTGTTGAACATTTTTCCTGATCGTGTTCCAATGATGGTTCTTTAGAATGCCAGAAAACTGTAGGCATCAACTTTCCAGCTGATGGTTGACTTTTGAACTTTTTCTTGGTCAGTGGTTGAGGATGTTTCCATTCCATACTCTGCCGTTTACTCTCAGGTTCATAGTGATGAATCCATGTCTCATCATCAGCTGCAATTTTATAAAAGAAACTTATACCTTCCTTTGAGTATCAGTCCAAATTTTGTTTGCACATGTCCAGATTCTTCTGTTTGTGCTCTTTCGTGAGTTGTTTTGGTACTTGTACAAATTTCTAAACGCAAGTCTGTGATGGATTATTTCATAGGCAGAGCCATGCCTGATTTGCAGATGATTTGCCACATAATCCACTGTCACTCCTCTGTCCTACAAATGTATTTAATGTGCACACTCAATGTTGTCATCAGCCGTGGACATGGATGGATGTTTTAATATAACTGAAGTGCAAATGATTTTCAACCCACTCTCGTATTTTGGAGGGACACAGTTCAATCCATTATACTATAGAATTAAATATTACTCAGTTATAGGGAGAAATGGAATCCTGGTATTTGCTATGACATATGGATGAACCTTGAAAACAGCAGGCTCAGTGAAATTTATCAGACTCAAAGCGAAAAATATTGACCCCACATATAAAACTTGTGAAACAGATAAATCATAGAGATAAAAGTCTATAAATGATTACCAAGGGCTAGGGTGAAGTGGAAATTAGTTATCATTTAAGAGGTATTGAGTTTCTGTGTTTGTTTCTGTGACCATTTGGAAGGGTTAGTCGTGATGATTATACAACATAGTGAATGTAACTAATGTCACTGAATCGGACACTTAAAAGTTGTCACTGATAGATTTATGTGTGTCACTTGCCACAATAAATTTTCAATTAAGTAAATTCTTTAATTTCACTTATAGCAAGTGTGAGCAGAATCTGAGGGAAATTATATCATTCACTAGAAGGCAATTAAAAAACCCCACAGCTTAGTAGATAACCTTTTATTTGCCATTTCAAGGTTGTAATATAGACTCCTAAGGTATCAGATGGGGGTTGGGTGCTTAGAAAACGGACACAAGGATGAAACAGCTTGAATAGCCAATTTTTAAATTAATTCAACAAATATTTATTGACCATCTCCTATAAGCCAGAAGGCTGCCTTTGCTAGGCCTTTGAGGTCCAGTGATAAGCAAAAAAGAAGTCATGGTCTCTGCCTTCATAAAGCTTTCAGTATTTATGAAGTGCTTTCTGCATGATGTTATAGACATTAAAAAATATGCCAGGGTTATAATAACCTGAGTCCTCCCGATGCTTACTGTGCCTAGAGGTTGGTCCGTGAGCCCCAGAACTTGGAGCACTGGTTGGACTATGGTGCTTTCTGCCTCCTAACTGAGGACAACAGCAAAGCACAGGAGTGTTTTCGGAAAGCCCTTTCCCTCAACCAGAATCATATCCACAGGTATGAAGGGAAAAGAGACGAGGAATGAGTGGGAGCAGATGCTGCTACATGTCTGACGTAGAACCTTGGTGGTCTTTTCTCAGCTTGCTGCTCTGTGGTGTCCTGGCTGTCCTGATGGAAAACTATGAACAGGCCGAAATCTTCTTTGAGGATGCGACTTGCTTGGAACCAACCAGTGTTGTGGCATGGACTTTACTGGGTATGGTATTTTCCGGGGATCTGAATGTGCTTTCTTTCTCTTTCCGCTCATGTAGTTTTTGAATTTTGGTAAGAATATGGGGAAAACAAGTGAAAAGAAATGTTGTAATTCTTCATTAAGTGATGGAGAAAATTTAGTCACATTTATTTTCGCACTTTTCCTCAGGTTTGTACTATGAAATTCAAAACAATGATATTCGAATGGAGATGGCATTTCATGAGGCCTTCAAACAGCTTCAGATTCGAGTAACGAAGCAGAAGAGCGCTGGAACTTTAGAGTATCTTGAAGAAGGAGGAAAGATGGAACCCGGTTTAGACCCATGGGGGATCACCAATGATTCTGCAACAGCAGTCAAAGCAGATGCCCCAGCAGGTAGGCCAGGGAATGGAGATGAAGACTGGGAAAATTACTGGCCTTACTAATAGGACTTTGTAAGGTACCGTCAAGTCCAACAGAAAGAACAAAGCACGACCTGTACCTGCACCATACTCAAAATCATTGCTGTGTTTGAGCCCATTTTTTTTTTTTTTACTTTTTATTGTGAATTGAGTGATAGTGTACAGGGGGGAACATCAATTAGTTTCATTGCAATGGTTACAATCCCCTGCATACTTCATCATTCAACAGCATTGCTTCTATTCCCTCTGTTTTTTTGGATGTGCATCAAAACACTCAGGAATTCAAGCAGCCAAAGGACACACCCTACCCCTGGCCATCTGCACACATTCCCTCTCCCTTCTTGAGTCTAGACTCCTCAGCTGCTCCGTGTCTCCATGTCATCATCTCTGCCTCCATCTCTGGCATTGCCACTTCTCTGAGTAGGGTCCCACATTCCTCTCCTGCTCTTTGCTCTTGATGGTCCCAGGGTCCTCTGCTCTGGGACTGGAAGATTGACCACTCACCCCTTTTTGCTACCAAGACATTTACCTTTACAGTTGCTATAATCGCAGTTAGTCATGATAACAATTACTCACTATTGAATCATGAGAGTCTTGTCCCCGTCTCCTTTCACCAGACCTGTCTAGACAGGATGAAAACTACTCAGTGGGGATTCTACCTTCCCCTCACACTCTGAAAACTCCCTCTTGAAAACTTGTAAGCCAGTCACTGTGTGCTTACAGCACCCCCTATTTTAGGTAGCCAATGTCTAAGTTGCCCACCCTTATCAACCCTATAGACAGAGGGGATGGGAATGATCCTTGCTGTAAAGATTCTTTCCCTCTTGGTTGGTATTTTAAGCTACTGCATGTATCAGTATAGGTCAAGTTCATCAGATTGTAGGGATTTACACTTGTTTTCTTAAAAAAAAAAAAAAATTATTATTTTCGTCCCCCTCTTTCCCTTCCTCTAGTTGGGTTCTGAACATCCAGCCATTGAAGCTGGGTCCAATGGGCACTATCTGCAAGTTTGGGCACCCTTGTAAATATCCCCTCACTTCATATCAACTGGATACTTCACTTTCAGCTCTTGCCCTCTGTGGCCATGTCCTTGTCCATGGGCTCAGGAGTCCCCAGGTATCACCATACTTTGGGCCAACCAACTCTCACCAAACTCCAGATCAATGGAGGTCTATGTAATTTGGTCAGATTCAGTCTACTTCTTCATTGCTGCTTTTCTCCCATTTCCTATCACCAGTACACCAATGTGGTCACCAGCAAGCTTACATGTCTGCTCATGTATTCCCTTTGAGTTTCAGTCTTGGGAGAGGGTTTGTACTAGAGGAACTTGATTGTTTTCCTTGATGGCTCCCTGGTGAACAACTTGCTTGTTCTTATAGAAGCCAATCAGACTGCCTTTTTTGTTTTTTTGTTTTCCCTGCTGGTCTTTCTTTCAAGAAGTATCTTCTGTTCCTCTAACTGTTCCAGGGTCGTCTGCTTGTCTTTTTTTTTTTTTTTTTTTTTAATGCTTTATTGTGAATT